GGGACAGTGGTTTGGACACGTCCAGAGGAGGGACAGTGGTTTGGACACGTCCAAAGGAGGGACAGTGGTTTGGACATGTCCAAAGGAGGGACAGTGGGTATATTGGTAGAAGGATGTTAGAAATGCAGCTGCCAGGAAAAAGACAAAGAGGAGACATATGGAGGCAGTTAGAGAGGACATGGAGGTAGTTGGAGTGAGGACAGAGATGAAGGAGGACGACTCGCTGTGGCGACCCCGAAGAGGGAAAGAAGAAGAAGAAGAAGAAGAAGAATTCTGAAAAGTGCAGATCTATCTGCTCTAACTTACTGATGTCTTCACTAACCCTCCAGACTCAGTAAAGACTTTCTCTGAAAGCATTCGGAGCGTCAGGGTCTAAATATTGAGCTGATCTAAGAAATAAAAGGAGCAGTGCACGAAGATGAAAGATGGAGCCGACCCAGTCATCAGTTAGTGAAGTTTATTGTTTCTGTATATATTTAGATACGCAGGCAAATCTGCTAGAGGCTGCAAAAGAATGGGTCTACATGAGTTAGTTTGTGGTTTAGTTTTGTGTATTTCGATTAGTGTTTGTAGTTTTTGACATGAGTGTTTTTCCGGACTGGGTTTCGATGTGGCTTGTTGAAAGGGAACTTTCTTACGCCGAGATGCAGACACTGACCAGAGTGGAAGTTGTTACCTCGCTTACTTTTCAATTTATCATTCTGCGACGGATGACAAAACCAACAAGTCACCAAAATAAATAAAAAAAAACTGGCATTAAACGTTTACAAGTCTGGATTTCAGAAGACAACAACGAGGCTTGAAAATAAACATCACAACAGATCAGGTTTGAACCCACCTGGATGCGTTCAGTCGTGGTGGGCCACAGCGCCCTCCAGATGACCTTCTTCACCACATCTGGCAGCAGACAGGCTGTTATGAGAAGAATGATGCTGAGCCAGGCTGGACCGCTGGACAACATCTGCATGAACACGTAGTACATCCTCTGGTAGTTCAGGAAAGGCCTGAAGGATAAAAACCAAAAGATTCAGCAGTTCATTCATTAAAATAAATGTTGCAGAATTACTTATGGGCCATAGGAACTACAAAACGGATTCCAAAAAAGTTGGGACACTAAACAAATTGTGAATAAAAACTGAATGCAATGATGTGGAGATGGCAAATGTCAATATTTTTTTGTAATATAACATAGAAGACAGATCAAAAGTTTAATCTGAGTAAATGTAACATTTTAAAGGAAAAATATGTTGATTCAAAATTTCACAGTGTCAACAAATCCCAAAAAAGTTGTGACAAGTAGCAATAAGTGGCTGGAAAAAGGAAATTGAGCATATAAAGAACAGCTGGAAGACCAATTAACACTAATTAGGTCAACTGACAACATGATTGGGTATAAAAAGAGCTTCTCAGAGTGTCAGTGTCTCTCAGAAGCCAAGATGGTAAGAGGATCACCAATTCCACCATTGTTGCGCAGAAAGATAGTGCAGCAATACCAGAATGGTGTTACCCAGCGTAAAATAGCAAAGACTTTTAAGTTATCATCATCAACCGTGCATAACATCATCAAAAGATCCAGAGAATCTGGAACAATCTCTGTGCGTAAGGGTCAAGGCCGTAAAACTCTACAGGATGCTCGTGATCTCCGGGCCCTTAAACGTTACTGCACCTCAAACAGGAATGCCACTGTCAAGGAAATAACAGAATGGGCTCAGGAATACTTCCAGAAAGCATTGTCAGTGAACACAATCCACTGTGCCATCCGCCGTTGCCAGCTGAAACTCTACAGTGCAAAGAGGAAGCCATTTCTAAGAAAGCTCCACAAGCTCAGACGTTTGCACTGGGCCAGGGGTCATTTAAAATGGAGTGTGGCAAAATGGAAGACTGTTCTGTGGTCAGATGAGTCAAGATTTGAAGTTCTTTATGGAACACTGGGACGGCATGTCATCCGGACCAGAGAGGACAAGGATAGCCCAAGTTGTTATCAACGCTCCGTTCAGAAGCCTGCATCACTGATGGTATGGGGTTGCATGAGCACTTGTGGCATGGGCAGCTTGCATGTCTGGAAAGGCACCATTAATGCAGAGAACTATGTTCAGGTTCTAGAACAACATGTGCTCCCATCTAGACGTCATCTCTTTCAGGGAAGACTCTGCATTTTTCAACACGATAATGCCAGACCACGTTCTGCAGCAATCACAACATCATGGCTACGTAGGAGAAGAATCCGGGTACTGAAATGGCCAGCCTGCAGTCCAGATCTTTCACCTATAGAGAACATTTGGCGCATCATAAAGAGGAAGGTGTGACAAAGAAGGCCCAAGACGATTGAACAGTTAGAGGCCTGTATTAGACAAAAATGGGAGAGCATTCCTATTTCTAAACTGGAGAAACTGGTCTCCACTGTCCCCAGACGTCTGTTGAGTGTTGTAAGAAGAAGGGGGGATGCCACACAGTGGTAAAAATGGACTTGTCTCAACTTTTTGGGGATTTGTTGACGCCATGAAATTTGGAAACAACAGATTTTTCTCTTAAAATGATACATTCTCTCAGTTTAATCTTTTGATCTGTGATTTGTGTTCTATTCTGAATAAAATATTAGATGTTGGCACCTCCACATCATTGCATTCACTTTTTATTCACAATTTGTTTAGTGCCCCAACTTTTTTGGAATCCGGTTTGTACACCTGGAACATTACAGACTCTTTATGAACTACTTATGGGCCATAGGAACTACACTTGGACCAGGCATTTTGTGTTTGTGTCTCTTTCCTGTCCTCTGTAACGCCAGCCAGTCAAGGCAGATGGCTGCCTGTCGTGAGCCTAGTTCTGCTGGTGGTTTCTTCCTGTTAAAATGAGTTGTTTCTTCCCACTGTCGCCCTGCGTTGCTCAAGATGGGAGGCTGTGACGAAATGAAGATTCAACACAATCTGCTGGCTTCTCTACATAGATAACTTTCACTAATTTGTACATTTTGGAACGTCTGTGAATATGTTTGTGCCCTAGGATGACTTCTTTTGTGAATTGGCGACGTATAAATAAACCAAATTAAAGTGAAACAAAAAAAAAATACTCACCAGATAATCCCCCCCCACAGCAGAGAGAAGACCACAAAGAAAAGCAGCGACCCCCAGATGACAAAATGGTTGATCCACGTCCAGTAATGTGTATCTAGAGCCAACTACGAGACAGATACGAGTCCAGTGAATGAAAGGTTAAAGTGGCCACATCTGAGGGTCCAGAACTCGCTCAGACTGCATGATCTACCTTAAACGTAACAGTGAAGACGAGCACGGTGAAGACCAACGTCCCAAAGGTCCAGTTTCCAAACATCTGTAAAGAAAACACAACAGCAGCTCTTAATGTCACAGCTCTGATGAGGAAAATCCATGTTTGTTAATCGAACAAAGCCACAAAATGTTTAATGCATCCGTTTAATCTGCATTAAAAGCTTCATGGTATGCATGAGAGTTTTTATACAGTAACTAACTTAAGAGCTTGTTTAGAGAGGAGTCAATCAATCAAACAGATGGCAGAGTGCTGAGGCAGCGACATTCACGTGAGAAATGGAGAATCATACGCAAACGGTTAGGATGAGAGAAATTCTCTCTAAATTATTGATCAGGAAATAAATGGCAGCTAAGGATGTAAACAGACGTGGGAGAATTTTTTATTTTTTTTATCCAGGTAAAATAAAACCGAAAGAGGTAAAGTCAGGTCCTCTGGACGGATAGCCGTTCGTTAGTGCCCTGATGGTCACTTGCTATTCACAGAGGGCTAAGTGATACTAGCAATAACAGCACTGTAAGAGGTGGACAGGTGGACATGGAGGCTCCGCCCCATTTACTGATGGACGGGTTCTTTTCACAAAACCATGACGTCCCAATGGCTTTCAAGACCCAAAATACATTACGGCAAAGACCCAAAGATCCAGTCCCCCGGCACAAACAGAGTAATATTGTGTATGCTGTTCAGTGGCATACATCGGGAAAATTAAACAGCCACTAGCCAAAAGGATGGACCAGCACAGAAGAGCAACATCATCAGGCCAGGACTCTGTGGTCTACACTCATCTCCAGGCCAGCGATCACTCGTTCAGGGATGAAGATGTTCACATCCTGGATAGAGAGGAACGATGGTTTGAGAGAGGAGTGAAGAACCCGTCCATCATTAAACAGGGGCGGAGCCTCTGTGTCCAACTGTCCCCCTCTTAGAACGCTGTTATTTTCATTCAACCTTTATTTAGACGGGAATCCCATTGAGCCTCGAGGACTCATTTACAAGAGAGACCTGAATTGCTAGCATCACTCAGCCCCCTGTGAATAGCAAGCACCCATCAGGGCACTAACGATCCATCGTTAGGCTGATGATCCTCCTCTATCATGTGAACAGCTGGTTCTGGATGTCAACAACAAACTGGTTGATCCACCACGAGAAGGTGCTATTTATAAGACTGAGTTTGTTGCAGCTCCTCAGACTGAAGAAGTCTTTTGGATAAAAGACGAAATATTTCAACAAGAAGAATCCGTCCAGAGAACCTGATTAAACTTTTTTAGTGTCTAAGTGAAAATGAATCATGTAAAATCTACTAACTTATTTAAAATATAGTTTTAAGCTCAATCCTTTGTTTAATTTATTTAATTATGTTTAAAGATTAAAATAAAGCACAGTAAAACCAAGATTAAAATTAAAAAGATTTAAGTAACAAAACCATAAATATTTGTCTTTTTATCTAATCTTTGCGCTATTTAGTGCCGAGCTTTATAAATAATATAAGATGAATACAATTTCTGTATTTAGCATTTTGTTGCCATTATTGATTTTGGACATTTGTTTATACCAATTTTCTCATGTAAAGCACACATTTATAACTCCATTTTCAAATTTAAAGTGATATTTGACACACAAAAAAAGTAAACAGATCAGTTTAAAATTTTGTTTCAAGTTTATGTTAAATAAGAAAAAATATGGATCAAAAATGCCATTTTCAGTTGCCATTTAAATCAGTGTTTCTCTTTGTTTTTGTTTGCGTTATGTATATAAGGTGTATTATAAAACATTCATATTTTTTAATTACTGGAGTCCAAAACAACTAGAATCATCTTTTTCCATAAAACTACTCATTCGTTTAAAGTTTAAAGTTTACCAATTTAAAATAATCTACAAGTAAACCTATAAAAAGCCTTTTTTTGTTTCAAGGACGGACGTTAAATTTAAAGAATTTACTCGAAACGGGAGCAACGTTGACTATAAAAGATAAAAATCTGAACGTTAACCGAGTGTTTCTGTAAAAATTAAACAATCTGTGCTTGTTTGTCTAATTCGCATGGAATAAAAACAAACGACGGACGCGGGAGGAGTTTTCTGACCAACGGATGAATGAAACCAGGAAGAGGCGGTTCGCTATGTGAAAGATCGACAGGACAGTGAGACAGCGGAGAGACAGACAGGCTTACCATCTGTGTGTTGGTTGTCATTAGCTGGGCGGAGGAAAGACAAGCAAAAAGAAACAGCAACACAAAAGTAAGAGGATAGGAAAGAAACCAGGCATAAGAAAATCATGAAGAAATAATCAAATCTGTGGTTGAAGATGAAAAAAATCAACAAATGAGATGCAAACGATAAAAGGGTGGAGAAGCTGAGAGCTGCTAGAAAATAAAAGTTTGAACATAAACATGGAAAACCTGTCGTCGCCAGATGGAAGGGAAATAAAACTCCCCTGCAGTAGACCTGTCTGCTCTTACAACCTTCAGCTTTTACTGTTTGACGTCATTAATCCTCATCAGGACGTTTCTTTCACTCACCATGAAAACTGATGGATTATAGTCAAACGGCGTCCGGCACATAAAAGACGTCGCCATTTTTTGTTGCTATGGTTACAGACGAAACCCGCTTTTTTAAAGAAAATAAACTTTAACGTGTGAGATAACCGTCGTCTTTCAGGTATTCCCTCTTCAGGGTCTCCACAGCAAGTCCTCCTCCGCCATCTGTCCTCTGTCCTCGCACCAACTACTTCCAGGTCCTCCTTGACTACAGGTGGTTCAGAGGCTCCACAGCAGTTGGTTGACTTCAAGATTTGATACAACAGCAACCTACTCAACACTACTACAGTGGGGACACAGCCAAGTATAATAGGTAGGACAACTCTTCTTCTTTCAGCTGTTCCCTATACAGGGTCTCCACAGCGATTGTCGTCATCCTCCTCCATCACTGTCCTCACACTGTCCTCTGTCCTCACTCTAACTACCTCCATGTCCTCTCTAACTGCATCCATATAACTCCCGTTTGTCTTTTTCCTGGCAGCTGCATTTCTAACATCATTCTACCAGTATACCCACTGTCCCTCCTCTGGACATGTCCAAAGCACTGTCCCTCCTCTGGACGTGTCCAAAGCATTGTCCCTCCTCTGGATGTGTCCCTCCTCTGGATGTGTCCCTCCTCTGGACGTGTCCAAAGCATTGTCCCTCCTCTGGATGTGTCCCTCCTCTGGCCGTGTCCAAACCACTGTACCTCCTCTGGACGTGTCCAAACCACCGTCTCTTCTCTGGACGTGTCCAAACCACTGTCTTTCCTCTGGACGTGTCCAAACCATCTCAGTCTCCCAGTTGTTCAACCTGTGCTGTACCTCTGATGAGCTCATTCCTAATCTTATCCAGTCTTGTCATGTCTAAGATGAACCTCAACATCTTGATTACTGACACTTCCAGTCCTGTCTCCTGTCTTTTTGTCCATGTCTCTGTCTCCAGACCATACAACATAGCTGGTCTCACCTCTGTCTTGTAAACTTTTCCTTTGACCTTTGCCGACACCTTTTCGTCACAAATCACTCCTGAAACTCTTCTCCATCCTGCCTGGACTCTTCTTCACCTGTGTGTGAGGCAGCTACGCTTTTGAATGTCAAGGTGACAAAAGTTTGACTAAAATATATTGTTTACGTTTAGAGTAAATAAAAATCAGGAACTCCATCAGTCAAAGATGGAATTATGGGAATAAGAGCAAGAGAACAGCTCATGGCACATCACATGCTCATCAACAAACTATCGTACAAAAATGACCCGGACCAACAAAGACCTGGTTTTGACTTTGACCTCGGAGCATGGGCAATGAAAATAGCATGTGAATATATGAAGTTGCATTAAATCATCTTCAGTGGATCAGAAGATATGGTCAGGACAAGAGAAATTTTAAGAGCGTTCAGAGATTATACGGCCGTATTTCAACGGGCGAATCAAACAAGTCACAAGATAAGACGATAAACGGCTAACTGTGGACGTTCACTGCAAAAACATTCACCTTTCAGTTAATTCCATCTATGACTGTCTGATGTCTACATTACAAAATGAGCTTCACAAAAATGGTGTGCAAACTTTTCTGTGAACCGAACGAGTCAAAGACGGCGAGTAACAGGAACGCCAGCATTACCTGTCCATTGCTGGTGAAAGTCGTGTTGTCAAACAGGAAGTAGGCACCAAAGAACATGACGATGGCGTCGTACACGCCCAGGACAGTCCAGTAAATAAAGCTGGACCACCTCAGCAAAGAGTTCTTGGCAATATCCCTGGAAACACATCAAATTTTTTTTTTTTTATTATAGCTCGGAAATAAGAAGCTATACCTACAGAAAGTTCACGTTTTCTATCCAATCATACGACCCTGAAAAGTTAGAAAACTCAAAATATTCAAACCGTGAGTGAAGTAAAATTAAACTACAGGTAACAAGTTTCAGCACCTCAAGGCCCGAAATGAACGTTTTGAGACGTTTTCTCATAACGCTCAATCGAATTATGTTTCTGTCCATTTGTTTCTTTAAACCAGTAGTTCTTCCGAGACGTTTTGCCCTGAACGTAAGGAGTTACTTCTGTGAGTCATTTTCATCAAATGCTATATAAGGGAGCCTCTCTTAAATGCACCCTATGAGAGTTATAGGTAAGCATCGCAACAATTATATGTGAAGGGGGTGTGTCCCACTCATATTTACTTTTGTAGGTAAACGTAGATGTTTAACAACTCGTTATAATACACCAGAATGCAGGAAATGGCATCTACTTTATTCAAAATTTTCTGGGGGAGGACCCAGACACCAGTGCTTATAGGACTGTGTTTAAATACATATTAGCCACCCTAGCTCATCAGTAGTTTTCAAAATTTAGACACAAACTTATAAAGAGAGGGGTCCTTCCTCAGAATGTCTGAGTTAATGTGCTGCTCCATGAGGCTGTAGAGGAGGATGGGCAGCGAGGTGAAGCTGATGTTGTAGAGAGTCAAGTAAGCCGTATCGTACAGAGGCTGTTGAGGACAGAAACTAAAGTAAGTATTTGTTTGTATTTGTTTCTTTATGAGTTGTATCATTAAGTCTCCACACACCTGTTGGGAGAATCCACAGAAGAACTGGTAGAGGAACTGGGGGAAGATGAAAACAACATTCTGTGGAGAAAAACAACAGCAAGCTCTTACAAAAGGTTTTGACTCTTTACTGCAACCGACAGGTAATTAATCGTTTTTAAGCAAACGTCCAGATGCAGCGGTGTGGACGGTGTGCAGGCGGGATAGTCACCTTGTAAAAGAAGTATTGCACGAGCTCAGACACTCGTATGTAGTAATAATGTCCGTGGACGAGCAGCATCTTCTTGAGGTGTTTGAACTTCGGGATGGCGTAGTCGCTGTTTCGAACCGCCTGACGACCCTCCTTACCCATGATACCTGATGTCAACACATAAAATCACAAAATAAAGACAAACAAAAAAAACATGTATTGCTTTACCTGCTTCTTTAAGCGCAGATTTGTCAGGTTTAGTTTGACGCAGCAAAAAGAAATCAAGCGGTACGCCGATGTCCCCAACGCTGAGGGATCTGAACAGTGAATGTTTGTAGATTTGGAGATGAGTGTTTTTCTGGACTGGAATTGAACAGAGGATGAAGTAAACCTAAATGTTTTTGGTGTAATAGGAGTTGCTGTGGAGAAGAACAGTTTTTTTTTTTTCTTGTCCAAGTCGGCGCAGAGTGATCCTGGAGAGAGAGGGGATACATTTCATCCACCACCAGGAGCCAGGGGGTGGCTATAGGGACCATGAGTAGGCCTGTCACGATAACAAATTTTTCTGGGCGATTAACTGTCTCAGAAATTATTGCGATAAACGATATTTGAAATTTGACAAAATTTAGTAATTATTGTCAAATTTAAGAAGAAATGTTTAATTTGTTTTGCATGTAGTACTTTTTTCGACCACCAGATGGCAGTATAAAACTGAACTGAAGGCTGGATAGTGAGGGAGCGAGCAGCGTCTCTTTACGAAAAATGGGAGGGAGGCCCCTTGGTGACACAGGCTGTCTCTTTTCGGTTCTCAAAATGGCGGACGCTCGATGTGGTTTGAGATCTTTAGCATAGCATTTGTCACACAGAGCTTTTAATAAAAATATCAGTAAACAAGTTCTCAGCTTCTTTTTGCAGAGAAAAACAACTTTTTACACAAAGGCACGGGTTTCAACCGTGAATTTTGGAACTTCGACAAGACGGAGATTTTTTCCCAAGGTCGGCCTTTTTGCTTAGCTCGTAGCTTAGCTTCTCAACTTAGCTGCATTTAACGATCCAAAAACAAGACTTTGGACGATTAAAACAGATTTTAAAGAGAAAAGAGAAAGGGAGGGGTTAATGAAGAGCACCGGAGCTGAGCCTTTTGTCATCCAGTGTTTTCAGTTGAAAGAGAGAGACACGAAGAAATGATAAAGCCGATAAATGAAAATGAGGTAGATAATTCTCATTTATCATGCGATTAATTGATTTATTGTTTATCGTGACAGGCCTAGCCATGAGTACACAATTTTGTTCTACCTCATGCACCACACAGTCTCCTTGAACCAATGGTGGCCTTGGTCCTCAGATTAACCCAACATAGCAAACCAGGCAGCACGGTGGCGCAACTGGTAGAGTTGCTGCCTCTCAGCGAGCAGGTCCCCGGTTCAAATCCCGGACCGTATGGCCTTTCTGGGTGAAGTTTGCATGTTCTCGCCATGCATGCGTGGGTTTTGTCTGGATACTCTGGTTTCCTCCCACAGACCAAAAACATGCATGTTAGGCTGATCGGTAACTAAATTGTCCCTATGAGAACGTGAATGGTTGTTTGTCTCTATGTGGCCCTGTGATGGACTAGCGACCCGTCCAGGGTGTACCCCGCCCCTCGCACAGTGATTGCTGGACATGGGCACCGGCGACCCCCGTGACCCAAAATGGAATAAGCGGGTAAAAAGATAATGGATGGATGGATGGCAACCCAAATTTTGACGGAGACCTTTCTAACACCCAGATGCAGCCACACACCAATACGGAAGTCGGTACCTCACTTATTTTTCAAGTTATCCAGCTCACAAGACGCACGCACTGATGGACTGAAGGAATTTTAAATTCTCGCCTCCGCTCCGTGACAATCATCCAACAAGGCACGTTCCAGATTGGCTCCATTTGTCACACGACGTCAATAAAAGTGTTTGCCTGCTGAGGAGACTGAAAGCTAAAGATTTTACTGACTTCTGGTAAAATCAGAATGTACAAAGCGCTAGACTTAAATTTTTTTTTTTTTTTTTTATCGGCTGCCCCTTTCCTCAGGAATCGCCACAGTGAGCAAATCATCACCACAGATCTAGCAGGTATTTTACGTCGGATGCCAGCTACTAGGGAGAACAAGCCAGTGTGTTTCTTGGGCTGGTTCCAAGCCCAAGCGAAGACCTTGTTTTAACTTTGACCTTGATCTGTGACCTTGACATTGGAGTTGGGGGAGTGAAGTGTACGAGACACTCCGTCTAGTGATGTTGCGTCTGAAGTTTTATTAAATTATACCATACCATTTTATTTAGAGTACTTAAAACAGTGACAAGGCCAACCAAAGTGCTGTACAGACAGAACAACAGACAACACGCGAAGCAATATACAAAATGAAGTAAACCAAAAATATAGACATAAAAACGATGCAGATAATAAATAAGACGACAAACCAGTGTGGAGCACAGGTTCACAACACAGATCCTCTGGTGTTGAAAGCTACTGAATAGTAGTGGGTTTTTAAACGGGATTTGAAAACCGAGAGGGAGGGGGCCTGTCTGACAAGCAGAGACAACTCATTCCAAAGTCTTGGTCCTGCTACAGAGAAGGCCCGATCACCTCTGCGCTTAAGACGAGTTCCTGGAACTGTGAGGAGCAACTGGTCAACTGAGCAAATTATCTTCAGTGAATCATAAATGAGCCGGACAAGAGAAAGTTTATGAACATACAGACTGCATCTTCTGACAGCAATAAAAACGCGAAAACATCCCATCAGCCTCGGCGCCAGAACACTAACCAATGCCAACATGGGCCTCCAGGATCATGCTGACGTCGTTAGCGCCGTCTCCAACAGCAAGAGTGATCGGATGCTCTTTGGATGCTTTGATCATCTTGACAATCTGAAAATAAAAGAGCATTCAATTTAACGAGTTCATAAAACAACCCGTGCTTCCTCGTGTCTAATGGGTATACCTGTGCTTTCTGGAGCGGCGCCATTCGGCAGCAGAGCACCGCGCTGCAGTTGCGGCAGATATCTAGAAAGAGCTCTTTGTAGTTCCCCGAGTTGGAGCCCTCCTGGCCCGGTCTCATGACGGCGGAGAGGGTGGCCCCGTCGATAATCAGCCCGAAGTCCGTGCAGTCGTCGGACAAACTGAACCGACACAAGGCGTGTCAAACGCCGAGTACTCAACTCTGCTGCTTTTGAAAAGGGAATTGTTTGAGCAGACAAACCTGGACGAGGCGTCTCGCGTCATGCCTCCATAATGCCGGAGGACGGTCCTGCTCAGGTCAAACAGGACATCGTGAAGACTCTGCTCCTCCGTACGCTTGGTGGTCAGCTCCAGGATCTGGGTGCGGCGGTGAAACAGCTTGCTGGCGTAGCAGGTGGCGGCTGCGGTCTCCATCTTGTCTCCGGTCAGCACCCACACCTTCATGCCAGCTTTGTGGAGGGACTCGATGGTGTCCGCTGCTTTCTCCTGCAGCCTGTTGACGAAGAACAATGAAGTGACGAGGCATTTACGGAAGCATGCACTGAAGCAATGAAACCTCCCCCACCTGTCCTCCACAGCAGTGGCTCCCAACAGGATCAAGTCCGTCTCGATGCGATCGTACGCCTCGGCCAGCTGTTTGTCTCGGTCCTGCAGCGCCAGCTTGGCCCCGCTCAACAGATGGCAGACCTGCTGATACTGATCGGGGCTCAGACGCCGATAGGCGACGCAAAGCGTCCTCAGGCCTTCCTAAAGGGGAGACAAGTTTCCAGACTGAAAAGACTTTGAGGAAAGGAAAACTTCTCCCTACTGGGTCAATGCGTGTCAGGATCGTAATCCAACTGCAAAGTGAAGGCGCCTGCATGAACGTTTGTTTCACTTCCTCCAGCTCAGACGCAGGATGCACCGTGGAACAGTGGGTTGCAGAATCCCTTGCCATACTCGCCGTGGGTCGTCTCCCAGGTGAGCCTCTACCTTAGTTTTGTACTTTGACCTTGTTGAGCTGTATCGTGCTTCGTCACCTGACTCCAAGGCTGCTTTCCGGGCTTAATAGTTGCATTTAACACAACTTAACCGATCCGTCTCTTGGGTCTTTGTGTTTCACCTGTTAACTACAATATGTACCCGTTTTATTTGTTGATTTTTGTTCGATGTCTTGTGTGCACCATTGACTGTCCTTTCAGTCTCTGTTGTATGATGACAATACAAAGCTCTCAACAACCTAGCTCCATCTTATAGTCGAGATCTTGTTGTTCCATATTTACCTAACAGCGCACTTCCCTCTCAGACTGCAGGCTTACTCGCGGTCCCTAGAGTTTCCAAAAGCAGAACGAGAGGAAGAGCTTTCATTTATCAGGCTCCTCTCTTGTGGAACCAACTTCCAGTTTCTGTCCATGAGGCTGACACATTGTCCAGTTTTAAGACTGGGATTAAGACTTTCCTTTTTGATGAATCCTATAGTTCAGATTGGCTTGTTATGCTTCCTTAAGCTTAGACTACTAGAGGGCAAATTGACCTCATCTCTTTAAATGATTTGTTAAAATTGAATAGTTTTCATTTGATACTAGTTCTATCTTAACATGTAATTCTTGACCTGCCATTGTGTATCTGTTCCTACCAAACCCAGCTGGTCGAAGCAGATGGACGCTTGTCCTGAGTCTGGTTCTGCTAAAGGTTTCCTCCTCACGAGGGAGTTTTTCCTTTCCACTGTCGCCTTCATGCTTGCTCAAGATGAGAGTTCTGTGATGGAGTTAAACTCAAAGCTGCTCCTCAGATAAATAATGTTAAATTATTGTTTTTATATATGAATGTTTCTGTTCAGTGTCCTGAGACGACTTCTGTTGTGACTGTGCTATATAAATAAACTGAATCGATACAGATATTTATTCATTCATAACTTTTTGTGTGGATTTTGCCCCCACGGTGTCCAAGTGTCCTAAACGGTTGTCTCGTTCGTCTTTAGGTGGACGTGTGATGGACTAGCCACGTGTCCGGGTTCAGAGGGAAACAGATCTTAAACTTCACTCCCTAAAACATATTTTTAAAGCTAACCCGAGGAAGTTTCACGTTTTGGGAGAAGTTATGAGGCAAAAAGCATTCTTCGAGCACTGGTTCAGATCCTTTGAAGAGGGGTTCTGTAAACCGGTTATGAACAATTAAAATCTTACCTGTTGTAGATAACTCTTTAAATGACCTCAGTTTGGAAAATCAGACTTTAGTTTGGACCAGAAAAAAACAAACCCTCATGCTTAGTGTGAGCAGGAAGTACATTGTTCCCGTTTGAAAACACCTCTAGCCTGAAAGAAAACTCATAATGGTTCATGCAAACGCTATTTTACAAACCTGAACTACAAAAATAATCTGAATTTATGCACTTTATCTGCGTCAGTCGTATATGAAGATGAATAGTATTTGGTAATACACGCATTTAATTTGGCACAAATAATCTCTTAGACATATTTTTCCCAAAGACCACGGCATCGTGGAAAACAATAGCCGCCATTTTTACAGGATGGCGCCATCTGAAGCCATATTGTGTGGCTTTTGGACCCGGATTGAGATTAAATCATTCAAATGTCCCAATCTTTTCATCAAACTGTAAGTTTTAGGGCATGCTAAATTAAATTCTGGACTCAAAACAGTCATTTCAAAATTTGTGAGTGTAAAAGTGCATTAAAACCATAAATGAGGGGGAAATGTAACAACACTAAGTTCTAAGCATCACATTTGCACAGATCTGTCTGCACTGAGACCAAAGCTGTAGCATGTGCATCTGCCAAACGGCAGCCATCTTGAAAAATGGCTGCCATATTTATTTATATTTTTTTAATGTGGATACCGTGATTTTATAGGAAAGTATGTCCTGCCCATCATTCAAACCAAATTTGGTGCTTGTCATACACCCCTGTAAAGAGGAAAATAACCGACATGTTTCCCTTGTGTTAACTCAGACATAACCAGTCGAGACACGATCGGTAAATAAACGCTCAAAACATAAACTTTAAACTGGTACCACTCTCTCATGACTAAATACAATGGTAGTCAGAAAAGTAGCATTAAAGAAAATTTATTTTAAACATATTATCATTTTACTGCCTCATTTTTTGGCTTTTATCTCGCAAGACCAGAATAATCGATCATAGATCACTAGATCAGCAGTCACAGTGCATCTTATTCCCATGAATTTTACTTCAGCTGAGGAATGAATTATGGCGTTTTATTTTCATTTAAATTTCCCACCATGAACAAAAGAAATAATTTTAGCCAAATAATAGAAAACAATAGATTTTTTTTATGTTTTTTATCCATCTTTTTTTCCCCCAAATGAAACAGTTTAAAGACAACACATAAATTTTAACTTCATTACACTTAGAGCGGTTGGATTCCGCAACACCAACAGATTATGAAACATCTTGGACAGTTTGAGTTTTATGCACTTTAATCCGTCAACGTGTCCACGAAGCACTTTTATATCTTTTGAGCCGTTTTAAAAATCCCAATATGTTTTTCATTTTCGTCAAGCTCTTTGCTGAACATTAACCTTTAATTGAGACCGTAGTGTCGCCATTTCTCGCATCAGAAGAACTGGACTGATGGCCAGAAGAATAAAAAAGTCTGTGGAGTTTCAGACGCATTTAAAGCCACGCTGAACGCCACACAGCTAACAGGTAGGTCACGCTCCACTGATCCACTTCCTGCAGTAACCATGGAAACCACGGTCATGTTCTGCAGCTATGGGAACCCTTGAAGTCAAATAACCTTTTTAACTCAGATGGTTCAAGTATAAGACGAAGATGTATTTTTGTAGATGTAAAAAGAAAATAATTGTGAGTGTTCTCACCACTGCGTTGTGCTCCACCCGCGCTTTCACCTGATCCACCTTGCCTGAGATAACTCTGGGGAAGATGGAGGAATCTGCACCCTTGCAGAACAGGTACAGCTCACCTGTTCACACACACACACACACAGAGCTTAAAACAGGAGTGACAAACACACCCATTAAAAAGACATGCGGCGTTTGGTGCGCGCTACCTGTGCTGGACCGGACGATGACGCTCATCCTTCGTCTCACGGAGTCAAAAGTCAGGACTTCTAGCACTTCAAATCTTTTTGAAGATAAAAAAAATAATGTGTTAATGGGTGATTCACAGTTCTCAACATTTTCACAAGCATACAAGTCGTACGCGGGGGGAAGGAGGGGGTCGATGACTGGTGTACGAGGGTCGCCGTGGGAGCGAGCAGCCCGTTTGAGTGTCTCTGTGAGACTCGTGTTTCTGCTGCTTTAGTTCTTAATCTTTAACAATATCAACATTAAAGGATATATTTATGTATCCTATTGTTTATTAATTATTTATATATCCCCTCTGTGGATGGGGCTAACGACGACCCTAACGATCCTCCATTGTGAAGAGTGAAAGGTCAATCTGCATGTGTCAATCTCCATTATGCAAGCTTACAGAACACCTCTGCTTTATAACTTGAATCCCACACTCCTTGTTTCCTTGAAATGAGAAATCTCCTCGGATGAGAAGTGAAACGTCGTCAGCTACAAATAAAGTCCAGTCGTTTTGTTTTTCACATTTTTGGAAACGCGAAAGGATGAATATCTGTATGCAAATATGTGTCCGTTTAACTTTATTTCCCCCAAAAATCATAAAGTTCTCAAAGAGAGGGTCAGTTTCAAGTGTGTGAAGTTTATCAGAAACATCTGTACGTTTTAAACAACTTCGAGAAAAATGTGGAATGACAATATTTTTACATTTAGTATAATATCCATGCAAGCTCAAGGACTTTATGTCTCAGCTTCATATATAATAAAATAAATTACCGTATTTTTCACTGTACAAGTCGTGTTTTTTTCATAATTTCATGCCCTGCGACTTATACCCCGAAGCGATATATTTATGGATTTTCCCCCCATATTTATAAACCTAAAATTGGCTGAGATATGACCGGTTTCATTAATTCCGACTGAAAATATTGAACACTACCATTGTTCAGCCACTAGATGGCACCAGAGTAGTAGAACATGCCGTTGTGTCATATAATAGGTAAAAGTTGAGGATGCACGATATTGAATTTTTGGCCGATATCCGATCTGCCGATATGTTAAAACATATTTGGCCGATAACAGATACCGATATTTTTTTCCTTAGCCCTACTTACAGAGACTACACAGCTTTCTCTGCTGTGGAATTAAAATACTACATTATTCTGCATGGTCTTTGTCAGTTTGTCCTGCTACCCATTGCAGATGCCAAAAAGAGGCTGAAATTGATGCAACACTTCAACTGGATTATGTTTAATGTCAAATCTATTCATGACATTTACTCTCTCTTACACAATGACAACACTCGAACAGTGCAAATTTATAAATTTTCACAAATCTAAACCTGTTCACAAGCAAAAAGTGCATAAGTAATAGTGCTTTAACAGATATACTTGACAGTTTCTTAAATTAAAAATTAACTTAAAACAGAAGCCTTTTATCTTGGCGAGTTATTTTGATGGAATGGCCGATGTCCGATATTTAACTTTATCGCTAATATCGTCCGATAACGATACCATGCCGATAATATCGCGCATCTCTAGTAAAAGTGGCTATTAATGACACAATCGGCTTGCCATAGCCTGCCACCTTCGTCCAGCTCGCTTGGAGCAACCGTCAAATCAGCTTCATTTCACTGTGCCACCCTGGTGAAATGCAGCTACTTTGACCATTAAAGTGCATTTTTTTAATAAAAGTTCAACTGAGACACACCTTTGTTATAATTTCGAGCAAACAAATAATTATTTTTAAGCGCACTCCTGCAGAGTTGAACCGACGCTTAGAAAAGCTACGTCTTTGGCAACCTGATTGATGCTAACCTTGTTAAATTCTTGTTTAAGTCCTCCCATGCACGCTCCCGCGGCCGCCATTTGGCAGCCAATCGATTTTTTTGCACAACACCGGCCCACGTTTCCAGGTCGTCAGCTGTGACGCATAACGGATGCGAATTATACGGCAAAGCAACGTATTTATGGATTTTTCCACTTTCTTAGACGTATTTGGACTGATGCAACTTATAAGTCAGTGCAACACGTAAGGTGGAAAATATGGTACTTGTACGCTTTTGGAGGGAGGGTCTCTAAAGGGAGTTTGTTTTGTACGCTTGTGAAAATGTTGAAAATTGGGAATCCCACCTAAACGATCGTCTGCTATACAAAGAAAAGCTTGTACGAGGTTGGCAACTTGCTGAAATTGTAAACGAGAGTTCTGCTCGCAGAACATCATACGCCCATCGACAAGCAAAGACCTTGTATAACATTTGACCTTGATTTGTGACCTTGACATTGCAACACTCCGTCTAGTGATGACGCACTCACCTTTCTAACTCATCGTCCCGGTTTAAGATTTCCATGTGACAATCTTTCTGTCTCAGGTAGGTGAAACCAAGTCTGCAGAACATTAAAAGTACTATAATTATCTCCATATTGGGTGGGGGACAAAAGAAGCAATATTTATGAATTTGTCTCACCTCTTCATTCCCTCCACCAGGGCCACCTCGTCCGGAGAGGAGGAGATGTAGAAGGAGGAGGACTTGCCCTGGTGGATGCCGTGTTTGATCCCGTCCACCGTCTCCTCCTCTTTCACCTGCACCGTGTGGCACAAACACACCGCCCGGAAGAACAGCTCCTCGCGCTCCTGCAGAGTTGAACCGGCGCTTAGAAAAGCTACGTCTTTGGCAACCTGATTGATGCCAACGCTGAGAATTCTACCAAGTTGCAGGACAGATTACGTCGCTTTGCTTTTTTTTTAGTTACACAAACAGGAAACTCGCTAAACAGGAAGTGCTTTACTCCTCTTTATACACATCAGGTTCAACACTGGACTCATGGTGTTGTTTGTTTTACAGTCACCATCACCGACCTGAACAGAAACACCAACAGAACGAACAGGGAGAACCCATCTGAACGCAGAACCTGAAGAAGTCCACCCACTTCTGGTCCAAGATTACCCAGCAGCCCCTGCGGCTCACCCATCTTCGTGCATTCAAGTACGACAAGTAATTTTAACAATTCGCACTGAAACTTGGCAGTAATGGACAAAACTTACTGTTCTGGTAAAATTTAATTATGTAATGAAACCAAAGTACAACTACAGTAGTCCCTCGTTTATCGCAGGGGATCTGTACCCTGAAACCCTGCGATAAGTGAAAAACCGCGAAGTAGGGATAGTAGTACAAGTAGTATATATATATATATATATATAGGCGTTTTAAACCCTTCCCACACTCTTACAATATTCTAAAAAGGCCTGTCATGATAACAAATTTTGCTGGGCGATTAATTATCTCAGAATTTATTGCGATAAACCATAATATTGTTTGAAATTTAACAATTAATTGTCAAATTTTAGAAGAAATGTTGATTTGTTTTGAGTGTAGTACCTTTTTTGACCACTTGATGGCAGTATAACAGTTTGAACCGAAGGATGGATAGTTGAGCAACGTGTCTCTTTAAGAAAATAGGGAGGGAGGGCCTTTGACGTGACATGGGAGACGCTCGATGATTCGAGATCTTTAGCATAGCATTTTTCACACAAAGCGTTTAATAAAAAAAATCAGTAAACAAGTTCTCATCTTCTTTTTTCAAAGAAAAACAACTTTTTACACGAAGGCACGGGTTTCAACCATGAATTTTGGAGCTTCGATAAGACGAAGGTTTATTCCCGAGGTCGACCTGTTAGCTTAGCTCGTAGCTTAGCTTCTCAGCTTAGCTGCTTTTAACGATACAAAAACGCGATTTTGGACGGTTAAAACAGATTTTAAAGAGAAAGGGAGGAGTCAGTGAAGAGCACCGGAGTTGAGCCGTGTCTTCAGTAGAACGAGAGAGACACGAAAAAAATGATAAAGCCGATAAATGAAAATGAGGTCGATAATTTTCATTCATCATGCGAATAATTGATTTATTGTTTATTGAGACAGGCCTGATTCTAAACAATGTTTCTAAACTCTAAACGCTCTAAAAGAGCACAGAATGTCATGATTTCAGCTCCCTGCCTGCCTCGTCTGCTCTCAGCCATCTGCAAGCATTCTTGGCCACGCCCACTTCCCCGCTCTGCACGGAGAACAGCTGATCAGCTGCAGCAGGAAGCTTATCCTGTAGTGTGGGCTGCACAGAGGTGCTAAATTATTTTAAATTATTTATTTTTAATAAAAATTCCATGCTGATTGTGTCGCTCATCCATCAATCAGCCAATTGTGTGTTATGTCCAATCTTATTTTGAAAAACCACAATAGAGCGAGTCTGATAAATGAACCGCAAAGCAGCGAGGGACTACTGTATTACATTAAAAAGTAATAATGTAAACGTAACGAGGATATTTAAATTTCATTCCTACAATTTCAGTGTGAATTTTTGAATTTACAGTGTGCAATTAAATGCATCACGAACGACGTGGTAAAATAAAAAAAGAAACAAACACCTGCAAGGCCTTCCTGAAGGCTAAGAGCCCTGAGTTTTGGTCTCGCATCTGATTGGTCATTTTTCCTGTCAGTTACTGAACTCCTCCTGCAGAGACTGAGCTCCGCCTTCTCTGCTGACAGAGAAGTCCTAACCAATGAGGAAGAGGCTTCAGACGTGTTTCTGCCTGGAGACGCAATTTTTAAAAAAAATGGATAACTGGATTTCTTTGCTCAACTGCAAAGTAGTTTTGTAGTAAATAAGATAAATTAGCACAAATAAAGAAAAACTACATTGAAAATATATATTTTAAATAAAATAAATGTTAAATAAAATGTTAAATTTCATATGTGCTCAATTCCTAGGCCTTCTCTTAAGGCATACAAGGTCCTGAGGGCTCCCCCCTTGAAAACTCATGAACGTGCACAGCGGGGCGAGGCTCACCCTGGCATCAGGCCCCGGAGACGTGTCGATCATGTCGATGCTGTCAGAACCACGCATCACCTGGTGGCGGCAAAACACAACATGAAAACTTTAGCTGACACGCAGCTGAAGTTTTAAATAAATGTAACGGGCACTTCGGGGCAAAAAGAAAAGCCTTGTGCAAATAATGACCTGTCCGTTGCAGATGGCATGAGGCACATAAACATGTCCGTCCACGCAGCACTCTATAAACTCCATATTGTTCTCCGTCAGGGTCCCCGTCTTGTCTGTAAACACGTACTCCACCTGAAACAGAGCGCAGGAAGAGTCAGCATGTTAGCTCCACTCTACTTCCTGTTTTCTCAGGGAGGCGCACCTGCCCCAGCTCCTCGTTCAGGTCCGACGTGTTGACGACGGCTCGCTCCCCCAGCTCCTCGTCGAACATCTCGTCATCCCACATGAGGAAGTAGGAGCCCAGGAACTTCTGCATCTCCACGGTGACGTACATGGACACGGGGATGATGTAGTTGAAGAGGACCATGAACGCCAGGAAGTCCGTGAACGCCCTGATCAGCTGAAGAGGACGGAGAGGAGCGAATGAAAGGATGGAGACGTCCGATCAGGGTCGGAGGGAGTAAATCAAAGACTCACGATGTGCCTCTGCCTCTCAGCATCAGTCCTCTCGTTGTACAAGGGCTCGTCTCGGTTCGGGTCGGCCTGCCACACGTACTTCAGCGCCGTGTTGACGATGGCCTTGCTGATGAGGATGCACAGGTAGACCACCAGGTAGGCATTCATTGACCTGCAGAGGACCACAAATAGTATTTAGTTTTGAAACAAACGGAAAACAAGCAGTGCAATCTTATCCACAACCAGAAGCAATGGCGGATCCACGGGGTGGCCAATGGTGGCCTTGGCCCCCATATATTAATCTTTGGCCACCCTAATTATTTGAAAAAAAATTACATTCACGCAAAATAAAAATTAAAACATAGACCCTTAAATGATCGGGGGTGGTCAGTTTACATATTTGTATGGTGGTGGCCATCTTGGATTTTGAGGTGGCTTCCCAATTTTCTATAGGAACCTTTCTTGGTGCGGTTGTTCAGCGTATTGTTTTTTTTCTACTAGTGCTTAATGTATTTTTAGTGAACGTTTTTCTTAGATCTTATTATTGTTTTTCTTCTACATTTTATACTTTTGTTGGATGCAACTGAGACCCTGTGTACATAATTTCGTTCCACCTCATGCACCACATGTGATGCGAACGACAAAGAACCTTGAATCCTTGAATCTTATGTCTAAATGTAACCACACACAAAAATAGAAGCCGGTACCTCGCTTATTTTTCACGTTATCACGCTCACAATATAAACGGAGAGACGGCGGGTATCTTCAGTTCCCATCTTCGCTCCATGATGGGGAACAAACAAATATTCTAAATATGTGACCATTGCTGGCAAAATTTGTCATAATGAGGAATCGTTCATTATGATTTTTTAATTATCGATCACAAAGGCTTCAAAACGATCTCAACATAACAGTTTTCCAGCTATCTAACTGTTAACAAAGGTGTACCACAAGGCTCAGTCTTAGGACCTAACCTCTTCACAATCTGCATAATTAATAATAATAATAATAATAATAATACTTTATTTATAAAGCCCTTTAAAAACAACCACAGCTGCAACAAAGTGCTGTACATATAAAATCAAGAAAGTTTAAACATATAAAAAAATAATAATAATGTAGGTCAGATCATCCCTGATGCATCCTGACGTTTCTATGCTGATGACACAGTTGTTCATTGTCGAGCTAAAACAGTTGCTAAAGTTTTCCAGCTTTTACAAGTGGTCTAAATGAAAAAAGCCAAAGAAACGTTTGCACATGTGCAGTAAAAGAACCGGCACCAGTGTTAATTTTAGCCTCTTATGTGGGGGTGCTCAAGCATCTCTGAAAAATAAAGAAACAATTATTAGGATTCTGTAAAGAAGCTCAGTCCTCAAACCTTAGATTCACCAAAATATTTAATAAATTTGAAATAAATATGGACTAAATGATGACACTCGTCAACGGGCCAGTAAAAGCTACGATTTCCTTTTGCACGAGTCGGATCCCCAACGCCACCTGTCAATCAATCCAGTACACTCGTCAGCAACTGACCAATCGGCAATCTCAATTCATCTCAAAGGTAAACGCCCCATACCTGCAGAAGCTCCACCCCCTTTTCCTCCGACAACATTGTCTGGGTTTTTCATTACAAACACTTTGCAGTCAGAGGTTAATGCTTAAAGCTAGTTGTACTTTGTTTTATATGTAGACATATGTTGCAACTTCTGGTTAAATAAGTTCAGTCTTTGTTTGCTTTGATCCTTTAAAAGTGCTATTTGTGACTGAGCTCCTCGTTTATGGCCACATAAAGACCCGATCTCGTCTGATCTCAGAAGCTAAGCAGCATCGGGTCTGGTTAGTACATGGAGGATGGGAGACCGCCTGGTCTAATACCAGGTGCTGTAAGATTTTGCACTTCTCATAAACCACATCAGGGGGTGTGTTGTTCAAGCCAAGAGCCATTATCAGTGCTGGGGGTCAGATCCTAGAATCGCCCTTCACCGGCACACAACGTTTAGTCAGTTTGGGTAAACGGGAAACAAACGGCGGTGAAGTAATGCAGCAAACAGGAACTAAGTGCAAGTGAGCTCCACCTCCGGTCGTTTCCACAAACCATCTGTGCACAAGACCCCGTCAGCGCCAGACGGGAGAAAGTCATTCAGTCGGCGCAGCGAGCCAGAGACGACCCGACACACTGACGGTGAGTAAATGATATACGAGAAGTGGATGGATGGACAGAAAGCAAATAAACCATTATCTAATCCAACGTGAGAAAAGGGGCGTCCGCCAAAGGCCGAAGCTCGGATGAGAGTGTCAATCAAAGCGAACAGGTTTGAAGTTTTCTTTTTACGGACACAGCCTAAAAAAAAAAAAAAAAAAAAAATCAGAAAACTTACTTTTCCACTGCCGATCGTTTCTGAGACTTGGACTGATAGTTGAGAGCCATCTTGGTTTCCATACCGGTGTAGATGGCAACAGCTGAAGGCCATGTAAAAATAGAAACAAAGATCAGAGCCGTTTCCATCTTTATTTATTACGCTGGTGTTTCCGTCGGTGTTACCGTAAATATATTCGGTGTTCTTGAGTGTTGCTCCTCGGAGCAGCAGGTTCTCTGATCCCAACGGCCTAAAACAACAAGACAACCATGCACAGAACATTACACGCTCGTCGACAAACTAGTACAGCAACCTATGGCAATGGCCCAGATAAGGAAAGACATTTGATCTTGATTTGTGACCTTGACCTTGGAGCCAGGGTGATTAAAAAATGTGTACAACACCGTCTTGTGATATTGCACATGTGCATCAAGTTACATTAAATTATCTTTAACGGGTAAGTAGTTATGGTCAGGGCAAGCAAAGACCTTGTCTGGGTGTTGACCTTGATTTGTGACCTTGACAATGGTGTTGGGGTGATGAATGTATATGCAACACTCCATCCAGTGATGACGTTTGTGTAACAAGTCTGATTAAATTATCTTAAACAGGTCAGAAGTTATGGGTGGGACAAGCAAAGCCCTTGAACAAACTTTGACCTTTATTTATGACCTTTGAACTGTGGTGATGAAAACTCTACTTGACACTCTGTCTAAAAGTGGTACAAACTCATATGCAGTTCTGTTAAATTTTCATGAGCAGGTCAAGTTATGGCCCAGACAATTAAATACCTTGTCTGTATGTTGACCTTGATCTGTTCACCTTGACCTTGGAGTTGGGGTGATGAATGTATATGCAACACTCAATCTAGTGATGACGCATGTTTATCAAGTCTCATTAAATTATCTTAAATAGGTCCGAATTTATGGGTGGGACAAGCAAACTTTGACCTTTGTGACCTTTGAACTGTGGTGATGAAAACTCTACTTGACACTCTGTCTAAAAGTGGTACAAACTCATATGAAGTTCTGTTAAATTTTCTTAAGCAGATCAAGTTATGGCCCAGACAATTAAAGACCTTGTCTGTATGTTGACCTTGATTTGTGACCTTGACCTTGGAGTTGGGGTGATGAACATACGCACGACTCTCCATCCAGTGATGACACATGCGTATTGAGTTTCATTAAATTATCTTGAGCTGATCAGAAGTTTATGAATGGATGAAGACCATACCATAACCTTATGGTTATATAATAATAATTAAAAATAATGAAAAAATTATGTCATCACTTTGATCAAAAATTAGCCAACCGGGGCTTGTGTGACGTTATAATCCCCAGCGAGGATGCCAAAGACAAAACCACATAATTCATCAAGCTGTTAAACCTTGACCTTTGGCTTTAAAGTAGATTTAACACTCCGTACATTCGTCAACATAAAAAAATGGAATCCATTTGTTACGATTTTACCCATTTCAGAGTAAAAATGTACAAACGGACTAAAAAGGACGTATTTTTTGTTGTTGGAGAAACTCGTTACCTGGCAACTGGCTCGTTGTTCATATAGATATTAATACGGCCCACGAATCTGTGTGGAAGAAAGAAAGAGAAAGCAATCAGGATATGTTTTTTTAAACTTCAACTCTGTGTTCGCGTTTCGTTGGACTGACTTGTACAGATCCGGTTGAGGTTGTTCACACTCTATGGTGGCGTGGATTGAGCCCACCTCCTCCTCCGTTCTGTAAGCTTTGGTGTCCTGAACTGCGTAGTAAGTCTAAGAAATAAGAAAAGCAGAAAAAGACGGGTTAAACGCAAATAATAAAAAGCATCGTAGGACAAATAAAACATAAGAACTTTAAGTAGGTATGAATGAAAATGCAGGGTTTTTTTACAGAGCCCGACCAATATGGAAGTTTTGGCAATAATCAATACCGATACTGGGATGGCACAGCAGAATGCCAATAATCGATATAATGGCTGGAAGTTTTTTGAACTTTGTCCACCCAAGAATCTAAATAAACTAATTTTAAACATGGTTTAACACTTGAACGGTCTTCCTGATGTGCGTTCACACTTTGTCTTCCACTATTCTCCATAAAGTTATCAAGTGTGTTACAATGGCCATGATTAGAAAGTAGTGCCCCAGGCGCCCTCTGCTGGATACACTGTACAATTACACCTTGTGCAAGTAAGGACACGGCTGGTTTCCAACTATTTATGGGTGAGAATTAGAAGTGCTTGAATCGGCGCGTAATGGGACAACTATCACAGACACCGATATGTCCTCAAACGCCTATATCGACCCAAAATATCGTCTCTACCAATATATCGTCCGGGCTCTAGATTTTAATAGCGTTAACCTAATTTTACCCACCTTGTGGCTACTCTCACCATCCAGGCTGGCTGTGGTAACGAAGCACGTCCCGTCGTCTCGAGACGTGGACAGAAGAATGAGATCACACGGAAAAGTCTCGTCTTCTTTCACTATGACCACGTCACCAACCTGAGACGAAGAATACGTATTATTTACATCTTCAAAACGAAGCTTGGTCTTCAAGCTGCTTCTTCTTCTTCTTCAGCTGCTTGCATCCAAGATCTGGCTCTAGTAGGCATGATCCAAACCTCATGACCACAGGTGAGGGTTGGAACGTAGACAGGCCAGTAAATCCAAAGCTTTGCCTTTAGACTCAACCCTTTCCTCACCACAACCAACCGGAGCAACGTCCTCATTACCGAGGGAGGCCCTACACTTACACTTTTCATGTCACCTTTAAAGACGTTGTACACGATGCGAGATTTGCACGCACGTACCCTGAGCTTGCGGCTCTGCTTGCGGGCCACTTCCCCGTGATGCACCACGTGGACGGGACACCGGTTGACGGCGTTGTCCGCTTTATGTCTCAGCCAGTCTTCGTAGCCCTGACAGAGAAGCAGAAAGAT